AAATGGGAGAAAAACAACTTAAAATAATCTGATATGCAGACGACGCAATACTATTCTCTCAAAGTGAAGATGATGTACAACGTTTGCTGCACCAATTTAATATAACCGCAGAGAAAATTTAACATGTTAATTTCCCAAAAAAGACAAAATGCATGGTTATAACAGCAAATTTACTAAGATGTAAATTAGAGCTGGAAGGTCAGATAATAGAACAAGTGATGGAGTTTAAATATCTAGGCATCACATTATCTAGCTACAGAAAGTTCGAAACCGAGGTGGAAGATCAAGTGAACAGAGCAAACCGAGCCGTAGGCTGCCTAAATGAAACAAAATGGAGAAATAAAAATATCGGAAAAGAAACGAAAGGTAGAATTTACAAAACAGTCATCAGACCAATAATGACATACGCGACAGAAAGAAGACCTGATACAGAGAGGACAAAAAGGATTTTAGAAACAGCAGAGATGAAAACACTTAAAAAATTGATGGTAAGACACTATGGGACAGAGCTAGAAGTACAGATGTACGACGTAGATGCAAGGTGGAGAACATCAAGAACTGGGTAAGAAATAGAAGAGTAGAATAGAACGATCATATAAGCCGAATGACAACAAATAGAGTAGTAAAGACGGCAAGAGACGGTTCCCCAATAGGTCAGTAGGAAGACCACGAAAACGATGGAACGACAACGTACTGGAGGCACATTGAAAAACAGACAAAGTCATGTATATATAAAAGAAGAAGAAGAAGAATAACCCTAGACACTACTGGAAAATAGTAAACTACGAAAGAAATAACATAAGATCTAGTTCGGTATAACCTGATCTACCTCGAGACGAAATGAATCAATTTTTTACTACAATTGCAGAGAATATAATTACATCTCTTCCCACTATTAATGTCGATTTCCTCTTCAATTATAGAAATTATCATTTTCCGAGCAAGTCCTTTTTTCGTCTCGTTTTGGAAGAAGAGGTCTCTCAAATAATAAAGTCTCTTAGTAATTCTAATTGTAGGGACGTTCACGAAATTAATAGCAAAATTTTAAAAGAAACTTACCAAATAGTTTTAACACCTTCACTCATCTTATTAATTTAATTCTATCAACTGGAGTATTTCCAGAAGTACTAGAATACTCAAAAGTACTATCTACTACAAAAAAGGTGATTCCTCAAAAACTGACAATTACAGACCCATAAGCATTGTTTTTACTTTTGGGAAAGTGATTGAAAAGGTTATCAAACAACAATTTTATTCCTATTTTGAGTCAAATAATTACTTTAGCGACTCACAATATGGATTCAGAAGTGCTCGTTCTACTACGAACGCGATATTTAATGTTGTGAGCGAGGTGATTGAGGGGCTTGAACGCGGCAATCGCATAGCAATTTCTCTTTGCGACTTGTCGAATGCTTTTGACTGCGTTTCACAAGATATTTTGCTCCACAAATTAAATTACTATGGAGTCAGAGATATTCCTCTTAAGCTTATAACTTCTTATCTATGTGGGAGACCCCAGGCGGTAGTGTCTAAAGGTCATCTCACCGATTTCATATCCGTAAAACATCTAGTCCCACAAGGTTCGGTCTAAGGACCTCTTTTCTTTATTATTTATGTCAAGGATTTGCCTAAATTCATATGCCCGTACAAATCCATACAATTCGCAGATGCTATGACATACGTTATATCAGGAAAAAATAATGTTGATTTAAAAATGTCTTATGAGGAAGTTTCTACTATATCTAGCGCATGGTTTGCGGCAAACAAACTAAAACTTAACTCTGATAAAACGGAAAATTTGGTTACATCTGCAAGTAATTTACATAATGATCCAGTTAACAAAGAGACTGTTAAATTATTGGGAATAACCATAGATAAATGACTGAACTGGTCGGCTCATATCTCACAACTAAAGAATAAGCAGTTCATTATTTTATTGCCACTACAAGGTTGTCAACTTTGAATCATTAAAAATGACATATTTTTCTTTTTTCCACTCTCACATAAACTATGGATTAATCATATAGGGCAATTCAACAAATGCACTTCAAATTTTTAGAATGAAAAAGAAAGTTACCAGGATTTTAGCATGTATTAGTTATCTAGAACACTGCTGACCTTTATAAAATTCAAAATTATGCCGCTACCTACTGAGGAGCAGCTACTCCTCACTAGTGGCGATGAGTTTAGGCCCTTAAGTCCCCTACACGGGTAAAAATAGAATAAAACTATCTGATGCCAGAAAAAAAAGTTCAAATACCTAATTAAGAAAGAACTGACTGCAAAAGAAGCCTGAAAGAAAACAGTCGAAAAAAGGTCCAAAAAGGGTCTGTTCTAAAGAGAACACTCCCGAAGACCGACAGCCAAAAAATCAAGGAGTGATGCAGATAAAGGCGACACTGTGTCTAAATCTGCAAAACCCTCTTTTAGTCCAATGGCTGAAAGTGTTAAAGTGGAAATTCTATCCTCTGAATTCCGACGTCATCTTCTTGCAACGGAATAATTAAATGCCATCAAGGAGATGATCCTAGTTACGATTCTAGAGCATCAAAAAGAAAAATGCGAAAATCATAACTTTTTGAGCGGTCGAAACAGACCTGGCTGGCTAGCTTTGATATGCGCCAATAAAGCCACCTTAGAATAGCTAAAGACACACATTGGAAATATAAAGTCATGGGAGGGTGCCACACTAAGACTTGTAGAGGGAGCAGAAATTCCTCACACCGAAGTCTTTACAGCATACCTTCTCGGAAGAAAATTCTAGGCCTAGTAGAGGCTCAAAACTCTAGCCTCCATACCTCCGGATGGAGAATACTGAACAAGTCTACGAGTGGAACCATGGAAATTCTACCCATTTCGGTGGACAGCCAAACCACCAATAGGCTAAAATCAACGGGATATACGACCAACAGTCCTAAGAGTCAATAGTGGCAGAAAGCAAGCTACAATCAGTGGGTTTCAAAAACCCGCTACGATGTCTAAGACCCTGGATGAGCAAAAAAGTATTCAAGGTAAAGTCAGGAGGACATGCCAGGCTTGACTCCAAGGAATCAGCTAGTGGCAAAAAATCTGGGAAACCAGACAAGAAAGGCAAGGAAAAATTTAAAAAATCCTCAAACCATCTTACAAAAGATCTCCTACGGGGGCTTTGGATTAATGGAGGACGAATACAAGGACTCAACATAAAATCAGGCAGATTACTCTAGTAATGAGTGAGTACTAATACTACAATCCAAGAGCAGCGCTATTGCTCTCACATAATATTAAATTTATTTCTATTCCAGAATTCACCACGGTAGATTTGATAACTTGAAGAGAAAGTACAAAGACTCATGAAATGGTGCAAGAGAAGGAACAGATACACAATTACACAGTATACGGTAGCACAGGAATCAATAACAACCCACGCTTTATAAAAGCAATTAGAAAAGAGGTTCATAATATAACCCTAACTAGTTCGTTTATAACAAATAAAATATACAATTGATATGTTTTGAACATCAACAAATAACGTTTGACTTTTGCGCATCTGAGTGGGACCTTAATGAATATCGAGTCCTAAAACAGACCGATTAGGACACTTATCAAAAGTGTCTCTAAAGGAAGTGGAGAAACTAAATACATCGCTCGATACAGAGGAAAATCTAAATAGAGCTTCATGGCAACTTCAAAATTTCAATATAAAGGCATATGAATCAAGTTGTCCATTTAAATAACATCTAGAGATGTTCCCTGGTGCAAAAAAGAGTTGGCTAAGCTTAAGAAAAAGGTCAGACAACTCAATAGGGTAAAATGTATAGGTAACTGGGATCCCTACAGAAGTGCCCTTACAGAGTACAACAAAGAACTTAGAAAATTAAAGAGGAACTCTTAGAGGAAACTGTGGGAAGGGAAAACAGAATTGGCCTCTGCACAATGACTGCAAAAGGTTCTCTCAAAAGATCACACAAATAAGATCGGACTGATCAAAAAGCCGAATGGTGACTATACTGAGAGCTTACCGGAAAATATTAGAGAGCTTTTAAAGACTTATTTTCCTGGCTCCAGCTGCCAGAGGCTTCAAGGGATCTCAACAGAATGAGCCGTTAAAAGCCTCAAAGCTTTTATATCCCCGAATAAGAATGGTTTTTCGTAGCAAGCCTTGTGTTAGGTCACATTTCAAAAACTTGGAGGGACGTACAGGTGGTATTTATACCAAAAACGGGAAAATGTCCTACTAACGAACCGAAGTCTTATCGCCCCATATGCCTCACCTCGTTTCTCCTAAAAACAATGGAGAAACTAGTAAATAAGAAGCGAAACTCTAATGAGGACACCGCTTTACAACCATCAATTTGTCTACTAGATCTGCAAATCCACTATAAATGCTCTGAACTGCCCAGTCAAAAGTATTAAAAAGATAATGGCGGCAAAAGAAATTCTTTGCGGTTTCATTAACATAGAAGGGGCCTTCGATAAGATCTCATTACCTAGTAAGGAACATTGAGCTCGTATATACTGGTTAATCAATGCTAAAACTCGATTCACTGCTAGTATGGATACAAATGGATTTGAAATCTGAAAAATTAGCTGCATAGGATTTTAAAAGTAAAATTTTTAATGAAAATGTTTTGTAAGCATATTGTGCTCTATTTCCGGTTATATTCGAAATAGTCACCAACTTCGTTATTTAATTTGCATTCTGACTTGATTATTCTTTCAAATTTGGGTTTGCGAGCATTTACCTGTCAAGGGGCATAGTTAGGCCAGTGATCAGTTTGCAAATATTTGAGGGTATTTTTTAAAATCCCTGCTTTAATTTCGGTGATGAATTTGTACTATCTACGAGGGCATTTATAGCTAATTATTGTTGATGAGTTTACGTGTATCCAATATTTTCAGTCCCACACCTTTTGCCAGAAAAACGAATACTTTCATCTTTATTTGACACTTCTTTATTCTAAAACTAAGGAAAAGATGGAAATAAAATATCAAATCTACTTTTATTTAGTAATTTTATTGAATATTATAGATAGATTTATACAAATCAAAATGTGAATAAAATGATGATTGTTTTGAGAATTAGGCTTATATTTATTTTAAAATTCTTTTTTGAGAAAATCCGAAAAATCTTGTATTTTTTATTTCCAATTATAAAATTTTGCCCATTATCGAGATATATAGATAAGTAAAGACATTAGAAGGGAATGTAACGTGCAGTGTATAAACGAATTGACACTAAACAGAAAAAAAAAATGAATACCCACATAAGCAGAATGGGGGAGACCATTGTGGTCAAAATAGCAAGAGATAAATCACCAATCGGTAGAAGGAATATCGGACGAACGCGCAAAAGATTGAGTGAAAACTTTCAATAAAGTTATCAATTCGCCAATAAACAAGCAGAATTGCTTATAAGAAGGAAGAAGAAGAAGATAAAGGGAAAACTGGGAAAAATTGGAACAGAAAATTGTTCTTAAATAATGCAAATTTTATATATTCATCCATACCTGCTTGAAATCCTAAATCTCTTAGATCAGCTTTCACCATTTTGTTCTCTCTGGAGCTCATAATTATCACTAAACTAGAACGTAACAGCTTAGTTCACGTGTTTATCGTGTTTCTCTAATCACAATAGTTACACAAGTAGATAAATCGTCTAACTGAGGAGCCGTTACGTGCACAACTAGATAACTCAGCTTACACAGTTGTAGTATTCAGCGTTGCCCTACTCAGGCGTGTACCTACTTGTTACAGCGGCCCACTACTTCACAAATATTTGAGCTAGAAGCTGTCGAGTTGTAGCATTCAACACAGCAATTCACGTAGATTTGTTTAAATGGGATAACTCAAAATCGTATTTTTTCAAGTCACCTAGTTGTAGTACTAAGGTACGATATAACAGTATAAAAAATCATGAACTGAAGTTTAAAACATTTGACTTAAATAATAATAAATCCTATAACATCATGATCACGATACTTTGAGGTTACCACCTTATCACCCGGAAGAGTAAAATAAACACACTAACAGAAGAGAAGAAGAAAAAGTGAATTTCGTTCGCGGTAAATCACCAGTAGGACATAAAAGCATAAGCCATCAATGAAAGGGATGAAGCGATGACCTCAATACGAAGGGGGCAACTATATCCAGATAAAACCTACAATTTGCCTAAATAACAGGTCGTACTTTGACGGTACTCATTTAGATAAGCTGGTAGAATAATACGAGCTATACACAATTTGGAAAACAACTTTGATTTTGAAAAAGTTCTAGTCGACAATTCTGAGACACTACGCAAATATTTTGTATAACCGGGCAAGTACATTCTATACGTACTATATTTTAATTTTTTGATAAAATTTGTACCTTAAATTATCTTGTATATTTAAAAGTTTATGATTTAATCTAAATTATGGTTTTTATGAAACGATAACAAAGTAGAAACAAAGGAATGGTTTGGACCAAAAAGTGTGTTTGTAAACTCGAACCAGTATCAAAAGATTCGCAACACTGAGTAGCTATTGCTTTTACTTTGGGGTAATATTTATTCCAAAAATCAAATGCCTTGTAATTTAAGTTCTTTGGATTACTCATATTGAAATTTCCGTCAATAATCAATATCCCAGGACTTTCCTCCGTATACTTCTCCCAAGTTACTGGATAAATACTGTTTTCTGTGGGATTAGAAGATTTAGCAAAGTTCATCCAGAAAGACATGATTGTGTCTGATATTCGTTTATCTCTGATATCCCAATCCTGGTTGGTGGTCCAGTAAGGTACCCCCCAAACATACAGTAAGTCAAACAAGTGTGGCACAGTGGCCCATTCAGGCAAATTAATGACAGCTGCCGGTGTACTAGGTTTCATGTCGAATCTGTACACGTAAGTGGGCTGCTCTTTGCTGATTAACGAGGCTAATTGAACCACCGAGGAAGCAACATTTCTTTCTGTAAAGAAGTTTATTAAAATCTCTCTGAAAGATTCAGCGTCTTTTACGGGAATAGAAGGGCTATAGAAAAACATGACAGCATCGATCAGATGGTCAGAATTGTAAACACAGGAAGACTCAGAGTTATTTACTATTGGAATATCACCACTTATAAGATCCGTTAACAAAGCCTGAAGGTATTCATTAGAAGTACTCGTAATATTTTTCAGACTATCGATTTCCAAAATATGTTCCATGTGAGTATAACCTGTAAGCAAAGGAACTTTCTCATAATCGCCTCTTTCAAAATATCTTATCGGAAGATCTGATAAAAACGGTACACTGCTGTTGGTGATTTCGGCGTCCAAAATCGGTCTCCAGTTTATGTTTACGGTTTGCTGAACCAGCGCCTCTGCTTCTGCGTGTCGCAGGCATTGGATCAATGCTGAAGTTGGCTTTCTATCGCAACCAAAGCTGCTAGATAATACATTCAATAAATCTTTGTCTTCTTGGGCATGCTTTACCTCAGAGGGATTCAAAATATTACCTAAAAATGTAAAAATATTATATATTATATAAGCATATTTTAAAGTAAAATACCAAATCCCTCAATATATCCCAGATTTGATGATAATTTCAGACGTTTTTGCAAGTGTCATTATCATTTTTCGATGATCGAAACCATTCAATAGCCATTCTAAATCCTACCTTGGATTTAAAAGCATCGAAAATATCAAATGTGATTTTGATGTATAATCTAAGCATTTTTCAATATACAGAAAATAGCCAAAAAACCGACAAATCCTCATGATGATTATTAGACTGTAGATGATAATTTACTTTCTAAATATTTGAACTTTGTTTAATTTTAGCAACCTTTAGATCTATTTGATTATTTTTTAATTAAAAATCGTCATTATATTGTGAAGCATGACTTTTGAAAAATATGAAAATGTTTCAATGTGGGATGAGCAACAGTTGCAAACAATTTTAATTTATCACATCAAATATCTTCTTATGTGATCTTTGACACATAGGTCAGTAAATGCCAAGTGAATCTCTTTCTTTGCAAAGAACACACTTTTTCTTGCTCATGCAATTTGGAATTTGAAACAATTAAAAATTGTAGTAGCCAAAAATTGTATTTTCATAAAATACATAGGGCAAAATATTAACTCAACCTGGCTTGTTGACAAAAAAAAATTATAGACCAGTAGGTTCAGTGTATCTAGGTAACCTACAAATCCGTTTTTTTTTTTAACAAACGTATAACTTCTTATACTTCTGCGCAAAACCTGAAAAAACATAGTTTTTTGGAGGTTTAAAGGTGTTTTGCTCAATGTTTTAATGCCTAAAAGGCTCCGTTTCTTTAAATTATATATAACCTATAAACAAATATTAATTTGATCTATTTTGATGTTTATAAAATGGAGAAAATCCAAAAAAAAAGCCTGAAAAACAGTTTACAAGGTTTTGAAGGTGGCGTACCTGACAGTAAAATCTGGAAAAAATCGGAAATATAGTTTTTGATTAAATATACAAAATAGAACAACACTAGACCTGCAGCATTCTTTCAAAAAACTTCATTTTTAGGTTATACAGTATAGGTAAAAGTTTATGGTCGGTATGGACCTTACGTGAGATGGAGTGAGAAACACCTGTTTAAAAAGAGAGAGGTATATTAGGTCCGCCCTTTATATCGCCGAAAATGAATGAGTTGAAATAATAAAAAAGGGGAAATTCAACGTTGCCAAACTTATTGGTTTTATTTGACCTGTTGTTTTTTTAGCATTTGAACAATGTTCTAAGATAATCAAATTTGGGCGAAATGCATTTAAATGGCAGCTTACTGTTTTTTTATTGGGAATATGCCACAATTTTACTTTACAATAAGTGTAATATAACATTTTGATTTCCACTTCGGAAATCGTTTTATATAAATAAAATTTATTAATGTTTCGTATTTTAAGTACGATTTCCGAATTAAAAATCTAAACATCAAAATAAGCTTATTTTAAAGTCACATTGTGCCTTATTCCCAATAAAAATATTAAACTGCATATGATGCCACAATAAAAAAGCTTCATACAAAATTATTTGGCAACGTCTCGTCTCGCGTGGACAGAGGTAACGAGTAGAGGTGGGTCGTTGACGTTTTTATCGTAAACCGATTTTCGTAAACAAGTTACTATGATTGTTTAACAGTAGTTTCAAGTAAGAGAGTACCTACATAAACAAACATAATGGCTATTATCGTTTATGTGTATATTTATTGAAGTGAAAGAAACTAATGAAGGATATATTTATTATAACTTGAAAAATAAACTAAACAATACAAATAGTAATTCGTACTTACATTTACATTACACGTTATTATTAAATCGCGAATCGTCTAAATTGACATTTAAAAACATGTTTTTCTACTTTACTTCTTGTTAACCGTGTTCTTCTTTTATTTAAAATTAAACCAGATTTTGAACATGTGTTCACATTTACAATATTTTATGAATATAGTGGTTAAGTTAGGATATACATGGCGATGGTTTTTCCACCATTGTAATGGACTCTCGATACAGGTGTACGTTTAGATGAGTCATGTCCAATTAATTGATCAAAAATACACCATGGACTTAGTCATCTTTATCGGTTTCTTTTTCTTGTACTGGTTGATTTTCAATAGTACAATCTTCTTGTTCTTTAATTATAGAAATAACCAGCTTCTTAACTCTTTCTTTTGTTTTTTAGCTTCATTTTTATCAGAAAATCCCTGCACTTTAAATCGTGAATCCATAAATGTACATAATGACAATGTGCACTCTGTCTATCCTCTAAATCTTTTTGCTAAACCCGATATTAGTAATTGTACTACGTCGGATACTATCGATGTAAGGTTATCGTTTGCTAAAATTTTATTGCAATATTCTTGCAGGCAGCGTACCATAACAATCACTGAACTACCCTTCAAGTATTTTTGGCCACTCATTGTACTTGTTATTTCTTTAAAAGGCCGTAAAATTTGGGAAAGTTGAGAACAAATAATCCAGTCTTCATTATTTAGATTTGGTCTAGTCTAGTCTGTATTAACTAATACCAATGTGGAACGGATTGCCTCTTCTAACTCGGTCATTCTTTTTAACATGTAATAGGTGAAGTTCTACCTAGTTTCCACGTCTTGGATTGGCCGTTTGGGAACTTTGTTATGTTGTAATTGATACTTTAAAAGCCTTTCTGAAGATAAGGTACTTTTTTGAAATGTGTTTTTTGCCGAAATGTCGAAAAAAAACTTTTTATTTTATCTATTTGTACACGACAGCATTTAAGTGCGTCCTCCACCAATAAATTTAACGTATGAGCAAAACAATTTAAATGTTTTCATTCCAAACATCTTTAATAGCTTTGACCATATTTGAGGCATTATCAGTTACTGCAAAATTTACTTTTCGTTGTAGACCCCACTGATTAATAATTTCACTAATTTCAAAAGCGATGTTTTCTGAATTATGGTTTCCAGAAAAATGGCAGCAGCCTAATAAAACCGTTTTAAATTCTAAATTTTCGGTTAAATATTGTCCTATTAATGCGATGTAACTCTCAGTTACTCCAGATGTCCAGAGGTCAGTAGTAATACAGATATTTTCTACTTCTTTAACAACTTGTGATCTAATAATTTGCTCAGTTTTGATATAACATTCCTGAAGTAATGAACCTGACAAAGTTTTTCTTGTTGGCGGTTTATATCCAGGAATCCACCCTGCAAACTTTTTAAAAGCTCGTTCTTCAACTATGGAAAACGGATGAAACGAGTCTTTGCATAGGTTTAGTAAATCCATATCTATTTGTTTCTTTTGTTCTAAACTAATATTTTTATTAATGGAAGTATCCATCACCTTTTGACGCTTGGGTGGCGGTGGCAGTATGTCAGTACTTGTAGTAGAAGTAGTACGAAACGGACAGAAATGCGTCAGGAGAAGTTTCAATCATTATAATATTCAGAAAGTGGACCATAAAAGCTGCATCTTCTACAAATGTGCATTTTTTGAAAATAAAATTATTATTCTTATACTAGGTCAATAATTTTGACTAAGAAAAAGAATTCTTAATTGAATATTTACAATAAATAAATCCTTTGACGAACTATCAATAAAGATTTGAAATCGAAAATGCAGATCAATCGTAAATCGAAACTCATTCATTAATCAGAATACCTAGTTATAAAAAACAAAAGAAAGAGTTAACAAGCTGGTTACTTCTATAAAAAAAAGAAAAAGAAGATTGTACTATTGAAAATCAACCAGTACAAGAAAAAGAAACTGATAAAGATGACTTAAGTCCATGGTTTATTTTTGATGAATTAATTGGACATGACTCATTAAACATACACTGTATCGAGAGATATAAAAGAAGTCGACATGTTATTTAGTCTGATGATATATTACCCACAAAAAAATTCTAACGGAGATTAGAACTGTCCATTACAGTGGACTATATTCTTATATAACTTAACCACTATATTCATAAAATATTGTAGTATTGTAACAAAATCTGTTCGTTGTGAAACCATGTTCAAAATCTTGTTTAATTTTAAATTAAAGAAGAACACGGATAACAAGAAAAGTGGAAAAACTCATGTTTTTAAATGTCAATTTAGATGATTCGCGATTTAATAATGTGTAATGTAAATTTAACTAGGTACTGTTTGTATTGTTTAATTTATTTTTAAACGATAATAGCCAATATGTTTGTTTGTGTACTCGCTTATTTAAAACTACTGGTAAACAATCAACTAGTTACAGTTTACGAAAAATGGTTCCGATAAAAATGTCAACGAGTCACCTCTAGTTTCTTAGGTATATTAGGATCGGAACCAGAGATATGTAAAATCGTCTCACTAATGGGCAAAATGTTATCTTTGTCTATTCGCTGAAAATGTGATTTTATATCTGTGTTAGATATCCTGTTAAATTTTACCATACGGACCATAAACTTTTACCTACACTGTATACACTCAACGAACGTTTTGTAAAAGCCTCAGCTATGCGGGGGGCTGGCGGACTAAAATTGCACTATATTTTCTATATTTTATTCACCGTTGTATGTAAAAAATAAAATAATTAATTGAGGTTGTATCAAAAAATATAATTAACCCTGCAAAAACCCTTAAAAACTCTGAAAACATAGTTTTTGGAGAGTTTAACGGTGTTCCACACAATCTTTAAACTTACTTAAGGACCCATGGACTTCAAATTATATATATTATATAAAAAGCCCTGATTTGATCTATTTAAAGTCTATAAAATGGAAATAATCCCCAAAAACAACTAAATAACAGTTTCTGGATTTTTGAAGATGAGGTACATAACGGAAAATCTGGAAAAATCATAAATATAGTTTATGGTTAAATACACAAAATAAAAAAAAAACAATCTAAAAAAAGTTATACTCTTTTAAAAAATTCATTTTAATGTTATTGTACACTTAACCTATGGGTCTATAAAAATACACAAGTTTATAAAAGCCTAAGTTAATTAAAAGCGTGTGAATTTTTGAAATTTTTCAATTGATTGCAACTCACCGAGTGTATAAAAATAAATTAAAACGAAAAAATATCGTTTTTGGAAGTAAAGAGGTGGTGGAGAGTTAAAACTGCACTGAGTCCTATTTTTTAATCACGCAGAACAAAAAAATGAGAAAATTCCTTCTAGGAGTGAGGGCATTTTATCTATCTTAACGGAGGCTACCTTTTATGTTTTAATTGAAAAATTCTATACCCAAATTTCTGTCTATAACACTTAATTAATAGATTGCGTATTGATTCTATTAATTATATACTATTACTTACCACTCATGGCAATCGCTTTATTAAATAGCCCTCTGGACTGTGGATTAATTAAATGCAGTCCAACGCTCATGGCTCCTGTCCCGTAACCCATGATACAAATATTATCGGAATTCCCACCAAACAGCTTGATATTCTTCTTTACCCACATCATCGCGGCCTGTTGATCAAGCAGCCCATAATTTCCGGATGCTTCGCCATCCATAGTGGTAAAGAAGCCCATTATATTTAATCTATAGCTAACTGTTACAATAATTACTCTCTGGCGATAAACAAGGGTATGCGGATTCCACATAGCGGGAGTGCCCGTTGTGAAATTTCCTGGATGAAACCAAATTACCGTAGCAAATCCTTGTTTAGGCTCGTCTCCTGAAAAGTAAATAACTTGGGTTATTAGGTCAAGTATATATTGTAGCATTATCTTTTTCCTTTACATATCAAATATTTAAATATATAAAAATGTATAAGTATTTATTTGACTTTCCCCTGGCTAGTACGTAACAGTGATCTGAAGTTGTGTTTACTTAAAAACCCCTGGCTAATATATCACAGATACCTGAAGTTTGTTCACCTGAAGTGTATTTGAGAAGTCATCTGAAGAAAATATTAACGAGAAAGAGAGAGGGAGAGAGAGAGAGAAATAGCTAACGAGTATTCCGTGATAGAGGGATTTAATAATAGCTTAGGGCTAAGCAAGCCGACATGGTTTTAAGGAAAATAGGCAGCCGATTTTAAAAAATCCATATTGATATCATCCAGGATCACCTAAGGCCCAGTTTTGGTATTTGTCAGCCTCCATTTTGTGTCTCCCATGGGTCGGATCAGATCGTTTGAAGTTTGTGTGGGACAGTGTTTTTTGTATTGAAATCTAAGATAACAAACTTTTTTAATAATTTCAAAGAAAATAATTAGCCATTGAAGCGATTAGTTTTGTTAATTTTTTCTAAATAAACATTTATCTTTAATATACTAAGATTTGCTCTCATTTTGAGTTTAAAGTTTCTAAATAAATATAAGTTTTATGAATCAGCTAATTGTCATATTTTAGTTTTCTTTTAAATAAAGTTAACCTTGATAATTAATTAATAATTCAGAAAAGTTTGGTATTTCATTTCGACATATGGCAGTTAGTACATCTTTTCTGTCATTTGGTATATAACCATATTTTTAAAGTCTGTTTTGTTAGAAGGTTCAATGTAACATTTGTTGATAAACATAGTTTTAATTCTGTTTTGTTAAAAGGTCCAATTCAATGTAAGTTTGTTGATAAATTTAGATATTTTTATTTGTTTTAACTGTTTATGTGAAATAAAAATAAATATGTAATGTATGCCTTTAAACCAGAAGTTTAAAAATTATTTCTTTTAAAATGATATTCACCCTTGAAATTTTTTAGGAAAGAAAAGCCTTTCTTTCCAAACAACAAAATAATTATTTAAACGGCGTCATATTTTAAATAGTTTAGGAATCTTTTTGTGTAGTGTTGCCCAGAACAGCTCTACAACCAAAACACGAGTAGCCATTCGCAAACGTTTCAATTTATTTGCTTACCCTATCTCCAAGCCCAGTAATTGCTTAGTCCCCTCTTTCAACCCCTAATAAGTAAATTAAAATTGTTAAAATATCAAATCAACAAAATAAGAAGGAAACAACTGTGATTGACTAGTGAACAGTGTACTAGTCTTTGCCGTCGTAGGAGATTGAAAAACCGGAAGCCCTTAAGAAGACATGAGAGAATATATCGAACGCTTAGCGCAGTGATAATCGACGCGGTTTTCACCCGGAAGCCTGGTGAGTTTATTAATTTTTATAATAATATTGATAATTTTATAATAATATAATAATATTGTTAATATTTTTATTTTATGATTAAATTATAAACAGAAAAATTTTCACAAATACTACTACTACTAGTGAACAATAAATAGTACTTTGTAAACAATACATTATATTGTTTACACCCCAATTCAATTCGAGGTTATACAACAATTCAAAAAATTTCAATATAGTTTTACTGTAATCCATCTTAAAAAATAATTTATGAAAATTTCTAAACATAAAACTACAACAAATGTTCAACCATTTTGTACTAAGCAGTATCCCACTAGATTGTAAAATTCTCGTCTAACATTAGCCAGAACGCGTGACGTTATTTTTGCACACTCTTCAATAATTCGCATTTTTAAAGCTTTAATATCTGTAAATTTTTGGTCAGAATAGATTTTTGATTTTAGATGCCCACAGATAAAATAATCGTTTGGAGCTAGGGGGGGCACTTAATATTACAGTCAGGTCCAATCAAACAATTATTAAAGCTGTTTTTAAGGAATTCCTTAACCTCCCAGTTATTGTGCGCAGGCATCCATCCATTTGAAACCAAATTTCTTCTTCATCTGGATCTATTTCTGCAAGTCTGGGTAAAATCTCTTCTTGTAGCAAGTCTAAAAACTTTTTTAAATTTAACTTTTCCTCATAGAAAATGGTCCAATAATATTGTGTCTAAATATTCCTAACCAGACATTTATTTTTGAACGATATTGGGTATAAAAAATTTTTTTATTAAAAAAACCTTTATAAAAGGTATGTATTTAAAAAATAAATACCTTTTTAAATATATACCTTTTATAAAGGTTTTTTAATAAAATTTTGTTAATATATGGTATACAACCCACTACAGGAACGTAGATTCCTTGTGGATACTGGGTATGGTTTTCAATAGTATCCTCAGGCTTTCTTGTCGACCAAATCCTCTAATTATGAATATTTGGTACACATTATTGCATCGCATTTGACCTGACTTTATGGGGTTGCCTTAAAAATGTATTATATTCTTGAAAAAATTTTGGAATACGTTTAATTCGTAGAACAATTTTAACATTTGTTTTCGATACATATTTCAGTCCTCTACAAATTTTTCAGTTTACGTTTTCTTGACTTTTGGTGTTAAATAATTAGGGAAGCAGGAATTCAACACAGTTTTGAATTTCCCATCGAGTTTCCTATGGCCCGTTTAGCGATTCACCGCCCTGTATATATATATATATATATATATATTATATATATATATATATATATATATCGCACCCTCAGTAATATAGAGGCACAATTCAAAAAAGTAGATTTGTGGGAAATCGCATTTAAAGATTCTGGTATCCGACATTACAGCTATTTTTTCAAATAAAATGCTTATTATTTAAGTTATAAATATGAAATTTGGCAGATCTGTTATTTGATAACTGCACTAAAAATTGCAATGAGGAAAAAATAATAATATAAATAAATTCTATTAATTACAAGGAATGGAAAAAACTACTTTCGAGTTAGTCCCGTATAGTATAAAAAACCATAACAGAAATAAGGAACTATTTAAGTTTGATCCCTTATATTATTAGTGTCCCTGCCACTGTTTAATTTTTAATCGTAAATGGTACTCTATATCACCAATCCCAACCGATGTTTGAATTTAATGTTTCTGTTTTATAAATAAAATATCAGGTAAAATAATAGTAATACTTTATTAATCAGTGCAAAATATAACAATAATCTAAAAAAAATTCAAAACAAGAGTTAAACATAATAAGATAGCTTTAATATTGTCACATTTATGAGTTTTAATTCCAAATAAAACTTACAAGTAGGAACTCCTCAATTTTTACATTGTCGTTTACTTAATACTTAATTGTATATCACAATATCTCCACAGTAAACTTAAAAAATTATACATAACAAAAAAACATTCATTCCTCCATTCTAAACTTCGAAAACTGCACATAACAAAAAAATTCATTCTAAAAAATAAAGTCTTCAAAAATAAAATTCAGTCTCAAAACTTTAGTAATATTAAGACATGTTGTTATAATAAGACGCATAGTATGGATCTATCAATTGTTTATTAATAAGATCCTTAAGATCATTCTTTTTAGCACAACTAAGTGGAAGTGCCTGGAGGTAAGCTTTCTGCATGGTTATTTCTTTAATATTTGGCATTCTCTTCCTCTTATCACGAACATTAACTTTTTTAAACTCATCCTTATATGAGCACTTGTAATAAAACGAAAATGGGTCTTCTTTGGTAAATTTCAGTACTTTAATACTATTCCATACAAGATTATTTTTCTGTTCATCTGTATTAAAATTATAGCCCCAATTTTCTTGTAATTTCTGAAGATCGTAAAAAACATTGTAAGTTAAACTGTGAACTATAAATGAAGCACCCATTTTCCTTGCTCTTTTGATTGCTGAGATGTATTGAACAGGAGAGAATATTGGGCCAGTTTTCCTATCTCTAGCTATCTGCTTTTGTATCAAACTATGCACGTTATCAGCTTCGTTCTGAGTGTGCCCTTTTATGAGATATTTGTGAGTTATCGACGACAAATTTTTAGATTGGCAACAGCGTATAAGTATAAGCATGTAAGATATTTATTTTTGTTTTGCCCACAACAGTTATCGGAAAAAATGTTATATTTACTTCCCTGTCACCAACTTTATCAGACACCATCTGTAAATAATGGAAAACACAGCTCCCTATCTCTGTAGCGCCTCTTTTCGCTTGAGTCTCGTCCCAAAAATAACAATGGACATTTTCATAGCCTTTAGAGATGTCCATTGTTGACACATCGTTTTCGTGTATTTTTTATAATTCCGTCATAGTGAAATTGCAACTATTTAATTTAGATTTGTAATAGAATGGTGATGTTTCACCGTTAGGACTTTGCATAATTTCTTGTACATCGTAACATACACAAATATTGCACTCATCAATGTTCTTTCTGTCATTCTTTTTTTCCTCCCTGCATAACTTCTTTTTTTCCAAATGCGTATGATATTGATCCCTAAGATTCTGTTTTAGTGGTTCAGTAGAATTTTGGAACTGCAGGCAAAGATCGCATTGATCTTTTTTTGGTTGATAAAAGCCAAGGTTAAATTTTGTGTTAAAAATTTCATAAAACGTGTGATATAGTCCAGCCGGGCGAGACCTTTCCTCTTGCAGTACTTCAAAATCTCTAAAGAGCTCTGCAATACTTTTACCACTACTGATGTACTCTCTAGAGGTAGATGCTCTTAGATAATGTGACTCAATGCGGGGTATAGAGTTGATGAAGTTGGTGATGTCATTTATAAGCTCATCACTTACACTTTTATGACTATTGTGTTTGCCGCGTTGGTCATCCTTTATGAAGCCCCCAGTTTTTCTACTATCTTCATGTACATTTCGAATCATCTTATGAGAAATATCAATAGTATTAATAAAAAAGCTTTTGCATACCCTAACTCTTTCGTTGTCTACGGAAAAATAAAATGCATGGTTTGGATTTCGTGGTTTTTCGGCATTGGTATACTTGTACCTAGGTGTAATCTGTGCGCTATTAGACAAAACATACATT